ATTGTCACCATGGATCCTTAGAACCTTAGGGGATAAATGGGGATAAAATAACCACTAAGGGCTTTTTTATCAAGTAATTATTATTTTTCCAGTTAGTTTAAGGGGAAAGAGATAATGTATATTATATGTGGTATTGGAGCAAATGGCATAGGTTCAATTCCCATTAATTCATGGACAAATTAGGATAAAAAAGCCACTAAAGGCTCTTTTATCAAGCAATTACTTTTTTTTTTATTTGGCTTAAGGGGAGAAAAATAGGGTGTGCTACACAATCCCACATTCTTACAATAGCAAAACACAATAATCTTAGCATATGCTAGCAAAAACTGTAAGGTTCTTCTTCTCCCACTGACTAAAACACTTTGACTATATTCACATGCTACTAGATACCCTCCATTATCACTTCATTACAATCAGTCATCATTGTCTCCCACCATTCATTTGTTAGGCTATTTTTTTCTCATAATTATCATTCTCAAGCAACATATTCACTTCTATCATTTCATTTCTTTGGAACTTTGAGAGTAGCTAGGCTATGTTTGAGGCACTTTCTAGAGGTGAGGTACCCTTAAGTTGGAGTCTAGGTAAATGGTTCTCCTACTTAATTTTATGTTTCCATCTTCTCTTTTCTGTTTTATCTTTGTTTTTCTCTTCTTTTTTTTCTTTTCTTTATTTCATTTTCATTTTTCTTTTCTCCACTTTGTCTCCTTTTGTTTTTGTATCTAGTTTTTTTATCAAGTTTTTTCATATGGTTTTCCCTTGACTTTAGAACTCCATACTCTCTTTTTTCTTTTTCTCTTTACTTTGTTTTTCTTTGGTCTCTTCTCCTTGTAGTACTTGCTGACACAAGGTAGTTGGAATCTACACCAACACTTTGGCCATGGGTTCTTGCATGTAACAAAGTTAGCACATTCTCTTCTGGTTACCTATTAGGAGATGGCTTAAAGCTTTGAGTGAAATTCTCTAAAATATTCCATTGTTAGAATATTCTAGGGAGATGTTGGGGCACAGATGTCCTCTTCTTCCCCATTTTCTAAGGTAGGGAGTTCACACAAAAAATATATTTGAGTGGGATTTCAAAGTATGAGAAAGTGTTCTCCCCACCATTGAAAGGCTCTCAATTCAACAATGGCAAATATTGTTAAAGTTAATTGTTTGGCAATGTGTAAAGTTTTTTAAAGAAGCTTTACAAGGTAGAGAGAAGAGTTATAAGAGTTTCACTAGGTAAAGAGTGTTAACAAGCATTACTGATACATCAAAGTTGAACTCTATGAAAATTTCAAACAGTTTTATTGCAAGTGGAAGGAAACTCTAACTAAAAAGGAGCATAAGACCAAGGAAAATCAAATATATGGTGGGTTGAAGAAAATAAAATGCCAAGTTAATAGCTTCTACAAATGGAGTGTTAGTTGGTATAGTGGGAAGTTCACATATTCTAATAGGGCCATTACATTCTCCATATAAACTTGTCAACTCATTTCTTCTCATGTTTAAATGTTTTATTCTTTTTAGGATCAACCACTTAATGACACCAACCACCAACCTATTCAAGAGGCTATAAATGACAACACTTGATTAGCATAAATGACCAAGCTAAAAATGGGAAGGTTGTACAATATAAGTCATCCATTTTAAATGCTGCATAGGACAAAATCCAGCTTGTTAAAGAATTGTAGTGCATGATCTGAAAAATAAGTTACATTAGTGTTATAGCAAGAAATGCATTTGTCCAAATTTTGTCCAAAGGGAGACTTGGGGAGACTTTGTCTATATTTGGCTTGCAAGTATATTTATTATATTTTCATGAAAGAACTAAATCAAGATCCTTAAGTCAACCACCATATCCATCAAGCTAGCATTATGGTTGTGGAGCTTCAAAAGTGTTTTTAGCATGGTAGTTATTTTATTAGCTCTCAAATCCATTTTACTTTTGTGTTTTTCATATCAAGACTTAAAAAGAAATATATATCAAATGTAAGTTTGATATTTACCAAATATTTGTTTGGGACAAACCAATGTTTTTATATAGTTCTTTTGAGCTTTGAGCTCAGCTCATAAGCTTAAGAGCTGTGTCATAAGCTTAAAGTGTACCTAGGCTCCACTCACACCATTGAAATAAAAATTGAAAACAAGCTCTTATACAGTGTTGCCAAAAATTAAACCTGATTGTTGTGCTGATCCTGCTCGACCATTCTCCTTAGTTATCCTAACATGACCATGCCCAAAAACAATAGTTTCAAACAAACTTTTAGTGTTTATAAAAACAATTGTATATTCACATGTGTTTTTCAAGATTTAAGTTGTGCCCACACACTTGCTTCCTTGCCACCAAACCTGCTGCCACCAAGTTTGGGCTACGTCCACCTTTGGAAAATCTAAATTTTGCATGTCTGAACCACAACATCACTTTTCCATTACCATATTTGAGGAGCATAATTAAAAATTTCACACCACATTACAAAAGTTACTATACCTATGTAAATTATATCACTTTGCAATTGTAACTTTAACAACCTTTGCTAAGTCATGAAAAATTCATAAAAGGAAAGAAGCATGAAAAAGAGATATTAACCACAAATGAATTATCATCCAAATCAGTTCTTCAGCTTTTTGAGTGGGATACGAACTTCAAGAAACTGCTTTTAAAGTTCTTCAAAATATAAATTTTTACATAAAAATTAAATTACACTTTTCTAAACATCAAACATTTGAACAAGTTGTTTTTTCTCCCTTGTGGATTATTACTTCACAATTTTTTTGGGATAACTCAAAGTTTAAATCAAGATTTTCATCCTCAGCCAATTTTAAATTGTATTTTTCTTGATTTTCTTTACTACACACAACTAGCCTTCTGTCTTAACATATATTTTGTTTCTTTTTTAATTAAAGTGAAACTTGGCTCTTCATGACTTGATCCAAACATGAACTGACAAAATAAACTTACTTAAGATTTAAAAATCTTCAATAAAATCATGTAGAAAACCTTAATGCAATTTTTGAAATATTTCCAAAATTCTACTAATCAATTGAATCCCAATAGCAGACACACATAAACTCCTATAAGTTGGACCTCAGATCCTGGAGCAAGACAGTAGTGCCAAGGGGATCGTCCATTCATCATGCAGCTCCAAAAATCCACATCTATGACAAAATATTTAACCTCATGTTCAAGGAAAAACAAAAGGCCAATGCAAAGAAAGAAAGATTCAGGTGTACTAAAGAACCTCATGGTTTTCTACAAACATGTCTAACTCCCCAATCATCCAATCATCTAATTTCGATGTCTTTTTAGCCAAACTTTGTATCCTTTGAGTCCTAAGATATAACAATGTTCAATCACAAGGTCCCACAATATGACAAGGTCACAAGGTCACAATATGACAATTGTACATATAAATTTGTCAAGGACGGGAATGTATCAATCAATCAATCAAAATTTTAAGCACAATTTTCTTAAGGAGATCTCCAAATAACTCTAGCAGTTTCTGTTCTGTAAATAGCCAAGTAACCAAGATTGTCGATCACAAGAGCATATAACTTGTTTTGGATGGAGCTCGTTTTGCTAGACCACGCCCATGTTCAAGGAAAAACAAAAGGCCAATGCAAAGAAAGAAAGATTCAGGTGTACTAAAGAACCTCATGGTTTTCTACAAACATGTCTAACTCCCCAATCATCCAATCATCTAATTTCGATGTCTTTTTAGCCAAACTTTGTATCCTTTGAGTCCTAAGATATAACAATGTTCAATCACAAGGTCCCACAATATGACAAGATCACAAGGTCACAATATGACAATTGTACATATAAATTTGTCAAGGACGGGAATGTATCAATCAATCAATCAAAATTTTAAGCACAATTTTCTTAAGGAGATCTCCAAATAACTCTAGCAGTTTCTGTTCTGTAAATAGCCAAGTAACCAAGATTGTCGATCACAAGAGCATATAACTTGTTTTGGATGGAGCTCGTTTTGCTAGACCACGCCTCTCCTCTAGATCCAACAGTTGCCAAATTGCATTGACTAGCAGGATTAAGTAGCAACCAGAATCTTTTCCCTGTGTTTCTGAGCTCCATGTGATTATTCCCCTGGGACATTGTAGTATGGGATTACAATTATTTTGCATTGTCAACCTATAAGAATTATCAGCAAATACGAGCCAAGAGTGTTCTAGAGCCCACTGATCAGTGATGTAGCATAGACCCAACAATGTCTTATATCGCTATCAAACCCATCAAGCTCTGGATACTTATGATCATCAAATGTATTAACTTACGAGAAGTTGGAGAACAAAAGCTGGTTATTCTGTTTAGGAGCTAGTTCGAACTCATAACGAAGTCCAATATACTGAAGAACAATATCAACATAACCATAACAATGTTCTCTACCCCTTAACTCTTCTAGTATCCTATCGCACATATCCAGTATATTTTGCCGTAGATTTTGGCCACGCACACCTTTGATCGTTGGACTCATGGTACAAATACCTGGGGCCTCGTCAAACACTCTACTATACACAAATATATAGACCTTAATAAATGTATTCGTATCAAAAATCACGACAAGTTCCATCGTTCTTTCAGCCCCAAATCGAACGTTATCACGCATATTTCTCACATAGCCTTGTATCCTTTCTACCATTGGTCTTATTTGTTCCACACTGAGCATATTATGCAAGGCTCTTATTCTAAAAATCCCATCTGGTGGTGCATAGCACGAATCTAGCTGAGAGATTAGAATGAGAGCTGCTAGAAGAAACGCATACTTGAGTCGTGAAAAAATCCATCCAATGAGACTTCAAAAAGCTTGCCTTGAATTGTTGCCGAATTGAAGTGGCTGAAATTTCAAGGCTCATTTAACCAGTGCAAGCAAGGTTTGAAAGTTTAGATAATTGGAAACTTTGTAAGTTTTAAAAATTAATTAAAATACAATCTTGATTATTTATTTTATAAAAATGCATTTAGTTTCTACTTAACAATGTATCTTGAATATATCTATTCATTTCAAGAAGCGCCCATGCCACCTCCTGACTTCCTCTTATTTTGTTCGTGCTGTTAAGATTGTACACGAGTAACTTGCATCCAAGACTTTTTTGTACAGCCAGCTACGTCTACAAAATATACTAAAAAGTCCTAGTGTTGGAATTCACCAGAGCCGAGCTCCCCAGTTTGACCCTGCCTCGTTTCCTTTTCTAATCCTCGCTCCACTTCTCGTTCTACTTGTATGACCAGTCCGCCCTTGGGGATCGGGACTGGCCACCATCTGATCCCACCGTGATCCTCCTTAATCTTCCAGCTGCACAGAACCACAGAAAACGAGTTTAAAATTCCAAAGTCGTGACAAAGTCTACCAGCAGCAGCAAAAAAAAGCAAAAGAAAGCTACAAGCGTTTTTCTCTCCTGTGTAGGCAGGAAGATACCAAAGAAAGGAAAGGAAGGAAAAAGCTCTTGGTACCTGTATGTAGTAACAAGGTGGTGGATGAGGACGAGCATTTCAACCTTTGCGAGCTCACCGCCCAAGCACAGCCTCTGGCCATTGCCAAATGGTATGAAAGTATTCGGCTTTGGACCACCGTCCTGGAAGAAAAAATCAGCAAAATCTTAATGAAACGGAAGATCTCTGGCCCTCCTCCAATCTTTTCTTTTTTTGTTTCTTTCCTGCTCTCTCGAATGAATCATCAAAGCTTTAGGCAAGCAATTGACCTCTGGACTGTACCTGGAATCTGGTGGGATCAAACTTGTACGGCTCCGTGTAGAGCTTTGGATTGAGATGGACCATCGACGGCGATGCGTAAACTTTCCAGCCTTTGGGAAAGTAGTAGCCTGCGAACAACGACACGATGAACAAACTTTAACTTCTTATGCTTTTTTTTCTCGTACCATCGTACTCGAGGTCGTCAAGTGCTTCCCTGGGAAGGAAGAGTCCGACGTAGGAAGTTCTCATCGTCTCGTTTATCACCTGGAGAGAAGTTGGAAACGAAAAAGCTTAGCTTCGAGTTTGATCGCGATAGAAAACTCAACTCTGAGCGTGAGAGGCATTTCTTTCATGACTTGAGACCACGTAAGTGGAGATCCAGGCTCTCGTTTCCTCCGGATAGCTTCATGTTCTTCCTGATCAAACAGGATTAAAGACGAAGCTTGAATCTCTTCTTTCTTTTGTCTTACCTTGACTCCGTGGAGGAGCTCTGGATTGTCGTGTAAGTTCTTGATGGCCCACACCAGCTGTGCTGCAGAGGTCTCGTGCCCAGCGAACAGGATTGTCATGATGATTCCTCTAACGTGGATGTCTGTCACCGCATTGGCAAACTTCTCGTCCTTGGTTTCGACGCAAATCATCGAGTCGAGCATGTCCAGCCGCTGCTGCTGCTCCCGACCACTCCAGTCCCTTTTCTTTTTTCTCCTCTGCTGGATCATCTCCTCCACTGCTTTAAACATGCTGTCCCTTGCCTGTAGCCACAAAGAGTCGAGACAGGAGAGAAGAACGAGAAGAAGTTGAGAGGAAACACTAAAAAAGCTTTCAGAAGCTCTGCGGAAATCTATGGGGAACTATAGAAGAGAAAGTTTGGTCTTTCAAGAGTAAGAAAGGAAAGAGATTCTCAAGTTGTTTGCTCACCTTGAGACCACGTCGGTAAGTTGTGAAAGGAAGGTTGATGTTGAGCGTGAGGAACGCCTTTTCAAAGTCTTGCATGTTCTGGAACAGTGCGTCCATCTGTTTTCCCGGCTCCATCCCGCATAGAATTTTCATCGCCACCTCGAATGTGTACTGCTCAATGGAAAGCGAAAGAAAAAACAAGTCAATCAATCCCAAAATCGCAACAAAAAAAACTGTGAGAGAGAAAAAGGAGAGAAGAATGTCTGGTGTTTTCCTTCTAGAGCTAGAGCTAGATGATTTAAAGTACCTTGGCCATTTCGCTGTAGACATTGATGGACTTTTGCTTTGTCCAGGAATCGAGGACTGAGCAAGCGAGCGCCTCGATCGCAGGGACATGGAACTGGAGGGACTCGGGATACAGGGAGGAGCCAACGATTCTCCGGACATAATTGTGAAGCTGCTCGCTGCCAAAGCTGCGCGTCGGATCGATGAGAGAATTTGCAGACTCGGGATAAGCAGGCTTGAAAAACTTTTGAGCCGACTGGAGCAACCACTTCGAGGCCTCCGGAGTGGTGACAATGATGCATTTGTCGCCAAAAAGCGAAGTGGAGAAGATCTCTCCATATCTGAATACTCGAGGGAGTTAGAACCAGGAAAAATGGACGATTTGGAACGCACCACAGTGAGAAAGCACGAGAGAAATGGAGCCATCAAAACGCAAGAACACAAACCAAATGAAACAGGAAAAATGCGTGACGAGAAAGATTGAATAAGTTTTACCTGGCAATACGAGTGAGATAGAAGCGGTGTGGATCTCTGAGAAAGCTGAGCGTTTCGCCGACAAGAGGGATTCTCCACGGAGGACCCGGCGGAGTCTTTGCTCCACTTGTGCTCGACACCTCCACCGCCACTCTACTCTGCTTCAGCATGAAAAAGGTCACCACCAATCCCAGAAAAATTCCCACCAACATCATCACTAGCTCCATCGCTGGTCGATGGAGAGAAACGATTTTTTCCTTTTTTCGTTCGTCGGTGGCAGTCTCAAGAACTCTAAAGCCCCAAAACGAGCACGAGGAACACTACAGAAAGACCAACTTTGACAGGCAGAGAAGGAAAAAGAAAAGGAAAATCCCGGCGAATTCTTCTCTCAGCTCACATTGTTTATTCTCCTCCTTGAGGCCTCCCTTCTTTCTCTTTCATTCTTCGGTTATATCTCGAGAGGAAATGTTACCTCGCAGTCACTCGCGACTGGCAATCACGCAATCAATCCATCAAATCGTTGGGTGTTGGTATGTTGGTGTTGTCACCAGACCAACTAGACCATGATAAAAACAAAAACCCACCCGTGTGCCACAGCAAGGAAAGAAAGAAGAAAACAAGACGAGCGAGAGAGAAGATTGATGGAAAGGAGAGAAAGATGGAGGGAGAACAAGACAAAGCAATCAGAGTGAATAGCTTTAGAAAAGTTCCACGACCACCCCTTTGAATGCCAAAAGATTTTAAGGGAGAGAGGAGGAAGAGGAACAAGAAAAGGGATGCGAGCGAGGAATGATGGGCGAGAAAGAGGCTCCTTCCAAATTCCAATTCCATTCCAACCATTAAAGCGATGGCAGGGCAGAGCGCAGGCGCAGCACAGATAACTAAATGTGAAAGCCACAGCGCATTGACACCGATTTGGAAAGCTCTAAAAGGATTGATCTTGAGCGTGAGCAAGTAATCAGGGAGGGATTTGCGCTAAACACGAGCTCAAACAAATCACCTGGAAAGATTGAAGGACGATCCCAGCCCCACGCGCGTGTGTATCTGCTGATGTGCGTGCACACGAGTCATTCTCTGGGAAAAAAATCCCTCCCTGACACGCCATCTTTCCTGAAGAACCCTAAAATGGTTAAAGATAAATATAATTATTGTATTGGTTTTTGCCAAAACTGGCTGTGGCTGTGCCCTTTGGGGTGGGGCAAACAATCCAATATGGCCGCAGCAGAATGGTATTATGTGGCAGTTGGCTATTACTTCTTTGTTGATGCCCAGCTCCAATCCATCAAAGCCTCCCTTCTGCTGGGAATGATGCAGCCTAGCTCCTAATAGCAGATGCCAATTCCTAGCGCCAACACTCTCCTCTTGTACCATGACAGTAACTTGCTTCTTTCTTTTGACACTGCTTCACACCTAGGATTACCATATTTCCATGGTCTGCATGTCCCTTGTAAATTCCTATTGACACAACCAAAAGAATGCCTTTATCTCTCTCAAACAACATGGATAACTCCATAACACTCTGCCTATATTTAAACAAGCTCAGAAACATTGTGTTTCCATGATTGATCACAAGCTACCCAAAGATTCTCTCTAGCTTGACTAAGGGATGGTGATTGAGTTCCTTGCTTGCTTTAGACATGCCAGAACTTCAAACACACTTGCATAAACTCAAACAAGCTCGGGAATATTATGTTGCCATATATCTTAGCCTAATGACCATTTAAAAAGCATTTTCAATTCTTTGGCCTGATCCAGAATCTCCAAATGCTCAGTCCACTAACTTCTTCCCCAAAGTCACCATATGATTGATCTACCTTGGTAAGTTGAGACTTAAACTCTTGAGTCAGTGAAGTAGTAAGATTTTCATCTCTGCTTGAATATCCTGTTCCTTCCTGCCTTTAGCTTGGTATCTGCTTGCATAAACAATTCCCTGACCTTTAGGCATCTATTAACATCCTGGGCAATTGATTCTCTATCCTAGTGAACAAAGACTTTTTAAGCTTGTTTGCCAATCCTAAAGCATCTAAGGCCTTAACTACATTGCAATGTGGCTCAAAGCATTTGTATAAGCTTGTACCATTTCACATTCTTTCTATTGTATTAATTTTGAATATAGTAATAGTCCTCGACAAAGTCTATAAGTAATCATTAGTTGCAAAACAACTAACAATCACTCTTCAATTTGCCTTCACAAAACCTAATATTAAACTCATGTCATCGAGTTATATACTTATCCAACATGAACATGATACCTCAAACACAAGATAAAGGTTCATGGACAAACACAAACTAAATGACCATTCGAATTCAACTCAACTACAATAAACTAACTATGCACGATCAAAACTTAGTTGAAATTAAGGTAAAGACCATGCGATGAACTCATATCGGTACACAACCTCCTTATAGACAAAATTATAGTATGATATCTCAACATTAAACAACTAAGTTGGATATTACCATCCTCAGCCAAAGCACAAAACTATCAAGACTAAGTCAGGATTAATGAGAGCTCACTACTCTTATAGAGTGTAATAAAATGCAAGATGCAAACTGCCACCAAGCATAATGCTACAAAAGAAAGGCATAAGGGTCATTTTTTTTAGAAAAGCGCAATAACCACTTTTTTACACCAACTCCAGACTCTATCCAACACAGATGCTTTAGCCCCAAAGTTAGCATTCCTTTCAGGTAGCATCATACAAATTACCTACTAAAGTTTAAGCTAACCAAAGTCAACTCTAACCCCTTCACTAGTTTGTATTGGCTTATGAAAAAAAAAATGGTTTTCGAACAAAGTGATCGACAGATTAACCATTGGAAAAGCCTAAGAAAATTTATGGAAAATTTTTCATCCTAGAGAAAGAATGACTTTATGTCTAGGAATACAAACTTTCAAGACTCAACCAACTTCCTCCTACCAACAATTTCACATATGTTCACTTTAACACAAATTCATGACCAACAGTATGTCTAAACATCGAATATCATGCTCATATTTTTGATATCCAACACCAACATCCGCAAAAATGTAAAATAAACATCCAAGATTTGATCACGAAGACCATATCTTCGGATATCCACATTGCACTAACACTTTTCTTCAATCACCTTCAAGATCTAATGTGAAGCCAAAACACTAAAAAGAAAAATGACATAGAAAATTAAGATCTAAGAAAATTCCTTATTATTCGAAATATTAATGCAACTTCCACTAACACAAGTGATAGTAATATCAATGCCTCAACTACACACCTTTTCTATCAAACAATCTACTTCAAGTACTAATGGATAAACCAATAAGCCATAGCAATTGAATGTTATAACCCTTTCCTAACACATTAATGGGCAAACTCAAGGAACTAAAAAACTAACTTAAACTTAACATAATGGATCACCATTGAAAATCTAATTAAAGCTACTACAATGCTACTAAATGCAAGTAAACTAGCTTCACCATCAATCATTTTGGAGTTGATCATCGTTTGACCAAGCAACTTCATAAATGCATTACTCATTATCATATGGATATGATATAAGTATCACAATAACTTGATCATCAATTGAGAAACACCACGAGCAATGCCTATATAATTACTTCAAAGGTTTATATGAGTATCAAGTGCCAACTCGATTCGACAAAATACAACATAAATGCCACACCCCACCAATAAAGATTCACAACACCTAACACCACTAATTTTTGTTCATAATATGGACAAGCTCATACCACTCTTTTTCTAACCAAACTCAAAACTAATCCAACAATAAATTACTCAAAGAGCAATAGCAAGGCTCCCCAGAAAAGAATTAACCATTGTAACCCAAGTCTTTAATAGCAAACCTAGACAAAATGGTTTAGCACTTCACTGCTATCCATCCCATAACTCACCATTTGAGAGACCATTATTTCCAACATGCATTAAGGTAGGAACTCTTGACTATATGATGTGCATATGAGTAATGAGTCACACCTCGTTGCAATTCATTTCTCCAAGAAGAGAAAATGATTTACATGTTTGATCCTTCATCCCTGATGACTCTCTTTTCGATCTCATCTTTGACTAAACCTCAAGTTTGATTTTGCACTGCCTTCAGTTCAATCCAAGAAAAGTTTATGAGAGAGCACAGCAATGACTATTTGAACCCATAGACTAATCCCTATAGTCTTGATTGATCCACTTGTAATCATGCCTAGGAAGGATCCATTAATGCCGTGCTAAATAGCTACATAGTAGCCTATTTACCACTCATAGCAAACCCAAGGGAGGTTTACTTTCACCCATGGTACATGGAACAACTCATAGAACTAACAATAGGCTAACATTAATCCTGCCAACTCAAAGCATAACCTTGAGTTGCTAATGTGCTTCACTCATGAGCCCAAGCGCAAACTTGTGCAAAATGTGCATCTTAGTCCATCTTATGAGCCCAAGAGCAAGCTCACATAATACAATACAAAAAGGTAACCAAATTTATACCTAAGGAACGATTGTAAAGCCTTTGCACCCAAACATGTACCCATTTGGATCATCGTTTTCATCTTTATATATGCAATGAGACTAGTTGCCCAATCTTATTGGATAGTACTCGTCGAGACTCAACTTGTCTCTGATACCAAATGTAGCGCATATAGTTTTTACCATTTATCCTATGGTGATTTACCATTGGATAACCACGAAGCGGAACCTAAACCCTCTATATGCCCGTGTTACGAACACGGCCGGGATCCCGGCCGTGTTCACCGTGTTTCACGAACACGGCCATGGGTCGTGTTCCCACGGCCGTGTTCGTGAACAGTGGTCCGTGTTAGTAACACGGACCACTGTTCAGAATATTCTCGCACGGAATATTCTGGTTTTAGGGCGCACGGCATCACACGACAATCCAGCCAGGGCGCACCATTTCAGGGCACAGCAGCAGCAATCCAAGGCAAACAAGCATGGCGCAGCAATCCAGCATACTGCGAAAGCATCCTTCTTCGCGATGGTGGGATGAGGTAAGTGTTCTTGAGAGCAGGGGGCATGGCCACAAATTATGGTCATGCAAATACTGCCCAATGGTGAACAAACTGAGTGGTGTTGATCGTGTGCGAGCTCATCTGTTAGGAGAAGGCCCAGGCAGCAAGGATATTGTGAGTTGTCCTCTCATCCCAGGTAACAAGAAAGCGGATCTGCTCAATATGCAAAAGGTTATTGATTCCGAGAAAGGGGCAAGGGGGAAGAAACGGCCGAATGAATCTGGTGGTGCTTCTATGAGAATGGATGGCAATGTCCAAGGATTTCCACCGGTGGTATCATCCCAGTCAAGTGGAAGTGGCTGCAGTTCCCTGTTTTTTAGCAAACAGAGTCAAGTCCATATTGTTGATTCGATGGATCCTGAGCAGAAGAACCGAGTTGATGTGGCTATCGAAAGATTTTTCTGGAATGAACACATTCCATTTGTCAAGGCTCGGTCACCTTACTTCCTCAACATGATACAGGAAGTTGCCAGGCATGGTGTGCCTTATGCACCACCAAAATATGATGATCTCCGGGATAAGCTTTTGGTGAAAGAGAAACGATTCATTGACATTGAGATGGCATCCTTGAGGAAGCAGTGGGAGCAGAGGGGTGCAACCATATGCGCAGACGGGTGGGCAGATAGGAGGAATCGGCATATCATGGGGCTTGTGGCATATAGTCAAGGACGAGGAGCTTTTTTGAAGGCTATCGACATTTCCTTAACAGGAAAAACAGCTGAAAATACTCTGCGCTGCTGGGAAGAAGGCATTAACATTGTAGGTGCAGAGAACGTTGTCATGGTTGTGACCGATGGGGAAAATGCAAACAGAGCAGCAGCAGCACTTTTGCAACAGAGGTACCCGAAAATTCAATGGGCAGCATGTTTTGCCCATTGCTTGAACAATGCCTTGAAAGACTTCGGTGTACTTCCATGGATGGCAACACTTCTGGAGCGTGGAAAGTCTTTGGTGATCTTCGTTAGAAACCACTCTCATATAGTGGCACTGCTGGCGGAGTTTACTCACAAGCGATTGCTGCGTTATTGTGATACCAGGTTCGGCTACAACTTCATTATGATGGAGAGGCTGGTGGAGCTCCGAGAAGCTTTACAACAAATGTTCGTATGCCCTGCGTACAGAGCAAGGCCTGAGTCGAAGTCGAGAGCAGGAAGGGACAGTTATGCAACGGTTTTTGATGACAGTTTCTGGCAACAGGTTAAGGACATGCTAGAGGTGTCCAAGGATGTTATGCTGCTTCTTCGTGTTGTGGACGGTGATATACCTGCGATTGGAAAGATATATGAGTGCATGAACAGGTTGGATGCAAGTTTAGAGGAAGGACAATCGGATTATGGCAGGTACAGGGAACTTCATCAGATCATGTCTAATAGGTGGCATGAGTATCACTCGCTCATGCACTCGGTGGCGTACATGTTGGACCCCGAGTTTCAGGAGTATGAAAAGCATGCTAACAGAGAGGTCATGAAGGACTAGAATGCTTATCTGCTGGCCATGTTTACATCCAGTGAGAGGGATGTGATACGTGATGAGCTTTTAACTTACCGGAGGATAGGAGGCATTTTCAACTCATATGATGCTAAGGCTGATCGCACTAAGAGGGGAGCTGTACGTTGGTGGGAGGACTATGGTTATGAAACTCCAGCTCTTCAGAAGTGGCCATTCAAGTTCTAAGTCAGGCATGCTCGTCATCCTCGGTGGAGAGATTGTTCAGTACTTTCGAGCATGTTTCTTCAAAAAAGAGGAACAGACTTACCATGGACAGGACAGCGGATCTGGTTTTTGTGGCTTGCAACACCAGGTTGTTAACCTGCAAAAATGATCGTGATTACGACAAGTTTGTAAGCTACAAAGTCCTGGAGACAGTTCCTCATCCTGAAGACGAGCTTGAGTCAGGACAGGAAGAGGAAGATGGAGATGATGTCGAAGATCGTGAGGTCGAAGATCATGAGGTTGAAGATGACGATGAGATGCAGGATATTTGAGTAGTTTAAAAGTGTGAAGTAGTTTATGTGCAAATAAAAATATTAAGAATAATATAATAAAATATAGCATATTCCTATAATAATATAATAAGAAATAGAATATAATTTTTAAATAACATATTCTTAGAATATTCAGTAGAATATTCGTGAGCCATCGTGGGCCGTGATCGTGTTCCGTGTTCGGGTTCCTGAAATCTGAGGCTCGTGTTCGTGTTCCGTGTTCGTGTTCGTAACTATGCCATATGCCATATGTCATATACCACGTGTCCAAAGGATAGTGGTGTGGAACCTGAGTTTTAGGGCCTCGGGCCACTAAATGAAGGAACAATGCTAAACTCCCAAGCATGGAGCCAAGGAGCAATAGCACTGGAGCATGGAACAACCTTCGAGCATATAGCCTAAGGAACGAAGGGACAAAAGCATGAAGCGACTTGGAACAGTCTTAGAGCATCCAGCATCCCAATGCTAAGAAAAACAGAGCCAAATGGAATCTGGCACTATTTTAGCATACTAGTGGCCTAACGCGAGGATATGGGTACTCTACCAACTAGTATGGTATAAAACTTGGGTTTAGACCGAAACTAGACACACAACAAGGATAGGCACACAAGCGGGAGCTAGACTATGCCCCAGGTTGGTCAGCCATGCCCAACTTACCCACTATCCCTATTATACATTTGGAACCCCCCACAAGTTTTTTTGACCATTCCCTTTGAAAGAAGGAAGCTTAAACTTTCCTTATGAGTTCCACAACATCTCACATTCCTCTCAATTCAGACCATCTAGTGCCTCTCAAACTGTGACTAGGAATATTTGACCCATTACCACTATTAGATGGCTGGTTTTATTCATTTCAACCTTCAAAAACCTTGAACTATATGCCAAAACTCCTCTTTTTCATTTATTCCACCTAAAAGATGATAGGGATCCTTGTCTTCAATTAGATTGGATTAGATAGGGATGAAAGCCCAAAGCTAGTCTATTTGCATAAAGTAGCATAGCAATAGTTTTGATTGAGTTCTCAATATGATCTCTTATGCTAAGCTAATATTAGTACCTTGTTTTCTTGAGGGTTTGCCCATTAAGGTTTTGAAAAGGGTTATAACATTAACTACTATGGCTTGTTGGTGAATTCATTAATTTTTGGAGTAGATTGTTATATAAAGATGTGTAGTTAAGGTATTAACTTTATTAGTGCTTATGATAGTGGAGGTGGCATTGTTATGTTGATTAATTAAGAACTTTTCTTAAAGCTTGATTTTCCATATTATTTTTCTTGTTAGTGTTTTGGCTTTATATTGGATTTTGAAGATGATTGAAAAAAGGTGTTACTGCAATATGGATATCTGAATATATGATCTTTGTGATAAAGTTTTGGATGTTCATTTTGCATTTTATGGATGTCGATGTTGGGTGTCAGATATATGAGTATGTTGTTTGATGCTTAAGCATATTGTTGGGTCATAAGAATTTATATAAAGGTGAATTTATGTGAAATTGTAGGTAAAAAAAAGTTGGTTGAGTCTTAAAAATTTGTATTTCTGGACTAAGAGGTTTGAGCCCAAATTCTATATCATGCTAGCTAGTGGAGTACCTATATCCTTACATTAGCCCATATGCTATAATAACACCAAACTTTATTTAGCTCTATTTGCATATTGGTTCTGGCATTAGGATGCTAAAATCTCTAAGGTTGTTTCAAGTCACTTTATGCCCCTGTCCCTTCACTCCTTGGGTTATACATTTGGGAGTCATTCTATACTCCACTTTTTTTGCTCTTTGGCTTTATGCGTAGGAGTTTAGTTTTGTGCCTTCATTCATAGTCAAGCTTAGGCTAATGACCTTGGGCAATTTTTGACCTCAAGGGGCCAAGGCTATTCAAATAATCTGAGGTCCCTAGAAATTGCCCATTGTTGAGTATAGGCTAGCCATCTCAAGCAATTTTTAGCTCTAGGGGGCTGAGATGATTCAAAAGGTAGGGATTGCTTAAGGTGGAGCTTTGACGAGCCACCATAGGCAACTTTTGGCCTTAGGAGGCTAAGGTTATTTAAATAACCTCAAGCCCTTGGGCTTAGAAACTACTTGAGATTGAGCTCGGATTGGCAATTTCTTGCCTTCAGGGGCCAAGGTTATTTAAATAACCTTGGCCCCCCAGGCTTAGAAAGTGTTGGAGGTCAAGGTCGGGTCGGCCACCTCAGGTAATTTCTTGCCCTAAGTGACCAAATAACCTGGGCCCCTTGGGCCTAGATACTGCCCAAGGTTGAGCTCAAACCAACCACCTTTTTGTCTTATTTGGTTGAAAACAATTGCTTGATTTTTTTATTTTCATTATTTAGTTTCAAATTTTTCTTGTAGAACAAAATAATAGTACCACTATGGCATTATAGGTGTCTTTATTGGGTCTTCTAGTTGATTGTTGATTCTTTTAAGATGACATGACCATAAACATTTGGTACTAATTTGATTATTAGTGCCTGAAGATACAAAGGCCATTGCTCCCAATTGTAAATTTCATTCTCTTCAACTTTCTAGATGGCCTTTTAGATATTGATGGGAAAGTCAAGGATTATAACTTTCTCACCAATAATCACCTATGTCATGCTTTCTTCTTGTTGAAAGCCCTTTTGCTCGATATTGACTATGTCATCTTCATCCAGCCAAATGATCCCAAACTGAATGTATGAGGTTATAATATGTGTAATGGAAGTTTGTTTCAAGTCATTCTTTTCCAAGTGCATTATGGATTTTATTGGCATTAACACTAGGGGTGTCCAAAGCAGGCATATTTTAATGAAATTTCTAAAATATATATTTTCTAGTGTCACAAATGTAATTGTAGGTATCGAAAGTTACTTGTTAGTAAGTCCTTTTGGATATTCTTTCCTTACTGCCATAATGGCAAGAGATCTGTATTGTTAGACCTTTTATCAGTCTCCACCCAAACTAATTGAGAAACTAGTTATTATGTATGTACTTGTCGCAAATATGATTGTAGGTATCAAAAGTTACCTATCAGCTAGTACTTTCAGATATTGTTTCTTTACTGCCATAACAGCAGGAGGTCAGTATTGCTGGTCCCTTTTTTAGTCTCTACCTAAGCTAATTGAGAAATTGGTCTTCATGTGTGCACTTTTGACTAGATGAGCATAAAGACAAAATTCCTAAATGCTATTAGTCAAGCATACTTGATTTGGTTATAGAAACTCATTCGTTGACTTGCAATTGCTAGTGTTGGGAACCCCCACAATATTGAGCTTGGTCCCTCAATATTTGCCAAATGATAGCTTACTGTGTTTGCCAAACACCTTTACTATCATGCACCTTGTATTAGTTCCATTTGGTCCTAATTACTATTTATCAAAAGTGTCTAGATTTGCTAATTTGGCATATTTATGGAATGTAGAAATTGCCAAAACTCACAATCTAACACCATTCTATATTTAGTAAGTTTTGAATTAATCCCAAAGACTAACTCCTGGTACTAAGGATGACTAAGGGTGAAAGCCCAAAGCATGCGTTCTTCAAGGGGGGTTCCAAATGTATAGTAGGGATAGTGGGTAGGTCAGGTATGGCTAACCAACTTAAGATATAGTTTAGCTCCCACTTGTGTGCTTGTTTTTGTTCTGTATCTGACTTAGGTTTAAGCTTAAATTCCATACCATATTAGCTGGTGGAGTACCCATATCCTTATATTAGGCCATTGGTATGTTGAAATAACACTAAACTCCATTTAGCTCCGTTTTACGTATTAATCCTAGCATTGGGATATTGGATGCTCTAGAACTACTTTAAGTCACTCTATGCTCTTGTTCCTTCGTTCCTTGGGTTGTACACTTAGTCACTCTGTATTCCAGTACCTTCACTTCTTGGCTTTAGTTTGGTTTCGTTCCTTCATTTAGTGGCTTAAGGCTGTAAAATTTAGATTCCACTCTGCAGTACTTGGGCACGTGGCATGTGACACATGGCACATGGAGGGTTTAGGTTCCACTTCATAGTTATCTTATGTTAAATCATCATAGGATAAAGGGTAAAAATCACATGTGCTATATTTGGTATCGAAGCATGAATCTCAACAAGTACTATCCAATGAGATTGGGCAACTAGTCTTGTTGCATATGCAAAGATAAAAATGATGATCTAAATGGGTACATATATGGATGCTATAACTTTGTTCCTTAGGTATGGATTTTGGTTACTTTTTTGTATCATATTTTGTGAGTTTGCACTTGGGCTTATAAGATGGATTGAGATATTTTGTTTGCACAAGTTTGCACTTGAGCTCGTGAATGAAGCACATTAGCAACTCAAGGTTACATTTTGAGTTGGTAGGATTAATGTTAGCCTATTAGTGGTTCCATGAGTAATTCCATATACCATAGGTAAAAATGAACCTTCCCTAGGTCTGCTATGAGTGGCAAATAGGTCAGTGAATCCTTTTTAGGCATGATTATAAGTGGATCAATTAAGACTATAAGGATTAGTCTATTAGTT